TGTAAGATCATTATTTTTTTATGTGTAAATCACAAGGTGGTCCGAGTCTTTCTCTGTTTGTTTAACTCTGTAAGATTATTATTGTAAATGAGATTAGCAATATGAATACATTTTCTATCATATTTATTGTCTTAACATTTAAATATTACAATGTAGAACTATACTTACATATTTAATAAAAATAATTATGCTTTGTATCATAACATTACAACAATATTTATAAATTGTTGTTCGTGCATCGCACGGTGCAAATACTAGTATATATATATATATATATATATATATATATATATATATATATATATATATATATATATATATATATATATATGAAAGTTCTAGTGCGGGTGCATGTTTCCCGTGCGGTTGTGCAGTGAGTAATGTGTGTGAGTTTTGTACTTAAGGTGCGTGAGGCTTGTGCTTAAGGTGCGTGAGTTTTGTACTTAAGGTGCGTGAGTGTGTACTTAATGTGAGTAGTTATTGAAACTTAAGGTGCATGAGTTTTGTGTTTAAGGTGCGTGAGTTTTGTACTTAAGGTGTGCGAATCTTGTGCTTAAGGTGCGTGAGTCTTGTGCTTAAGGTGCGTGAGTTTGTGCTTAATGTGGGTAGTTGTTAAAAATTTAAGATGCGTGTGTTTTGTGCTTAAGGTGCGTGAGTTTTGTGCTTAAGGTGCGTGAGGGTTGTGCTTAAGATGCGTGTGTTTGTGTTTTGAAGATATTTTGTTTGTGTGATTAATGTGCGTGTGTTGTGTACTTAATGTGCGTGTGTTGTGTACTTAATTAACTTACCGAAATTGTCCATTATTAACTATACTGAAATTACCAATTTGATCCTTGACTATGTTTTTTATTTATTTATTTATTTATTTGCTTAATTAAGTCTATCAACTTTAAAAATCTTTACAAATTTGGTCCTGCGTTTGTTTAGCTGTCAGATTTCTTTTTACCCGAGACCAAATTAATAATTTTCGCTATAGTCAATGGACCATTTCCGTAATTAACTCTTCGGTTTAATAAGAGATGAAATGGTGCATGTGATGATCGAAATAGTCCTTTGCCTATAAAAAAATTACCAATTTGATCCCGAGTAAACGGATGCCTGACGGCTAAACAAACAAAGAACCAAATTAGTTAAGATTTTTAAAGTTAAGGGACATAAATAGGAAAAAAATGATCAATAACCAAATTGATAATTTCGCTATAGTCATTTCGATAATTAACTCTTATTTATTTATTTATTTATTTTGATTCTAATTCCTATTTACTACCAAACAAATTGATTTCTTCTCTACTTGGTATCTTATTCTTATTACCATTATTATTCCAGTGTTAGAACCAAACGCACCCCTAATTATGTATGTTCACCGTTGTCTATTCCAACTCAACTTAATCTTCACTCGGTTTTTAACAATGGTTAATTATTATGACCCTGATTGGTAAATAGTTGTTAGTTGTTAGCTAATTGGGTTAATTAGAGGATATAACTAGTTGATAACATTAGCTGGTTGTAGAAAAATGTTTGCTAAATTAGCTGTTAGCTAATAGCTGTTTGGTATAATTTATTTTCTAAAAAAGTTAATTGAAAAAGTTGTTTTCAGTAGTTTTTTAAATTTTACAGTACCATTTTGAAATTATAAAAAATTAATTAATCAAATACTTATATTGATTTTTTAACCAAATCAAAAAGTTAATAGTGTTTTAATAAGTCAAAATTGACCTATAGTAATATTGTAATAATGTGATTTGTAAGCTAATACATAAAAGTGAAATTTACTCCGCTTATAGTTTAAAATAGTAATACGTCGTTTTTCTTTCGTCACAGAAAAAAAAAATTGAGGTGGGAAAATGATAACAGCACCCCATCCCCAATATCACATGTTACCATGTGGCATGTGTGGGCATGATGTTCTTTAATTGTATTAGGAACAAAAGGTATGGGGTCTTTATGGTGGTCCCCCAAAGATTTATTTTCCTTCTAACATCATACATACACTAATATATATTATCTTGGTATAATACTGTCAAGAGAGTTGATTTTCCGTTTTTAACTTATGATTTTGTGATCTTTCTGGATTTGGGACTTTTTCTGCCATGTAGACACGTCCGTTGTTTATTATCAACTAGTATTTTTACCCGTGCGATGCACGTAATGGAATTATTGTAATATATTAAAAATATTTAAATTGATATATAATTATTTAAGAGTTAATTTCACCAGATGTCGTTTATCTTTCTTGACAATTCCAAATTTAATCCTAGACTATAGTTATTAATTATTACGATTTATTCTATGTTATAATTCTTACGTTAATATTCTTAGTATTATTATTAACACTTAATTACTTTTAGATATTATTTTACCACTTACATTATTATTATTACATTATTATTATTATTAGTTTCTTTTCAAGTTCTGTTAGTATATAATGGCCGTGAGGCACAATAATAATATAACCATAATTAAATATTCTTGTATTGTATTCCGTAAGTCACAATAATAATATAACAATAATTAAATATTCTTCAATTCTATATTCTTCTAGGACTTTTATTACCATCATTACTTATTCTCAAATTTACCATAATTAAATAATTTGACCAATTATAAAGAGAGATTATTAAATAATGCATGGAACAATTTTTTAATTAAAAAATTTAAAAATTCATTAATAAAACATAAGGTTCTCATAATTTTTTCATAGAAACTATTTAATAAAGCATTTTTTTAAAAAAATTGGTGGGCCAAACCGCCTACGGCAGTTTGCGATGGATAAATCTCGAAAAAATACGCGATTTCAAAAAAACATTTGTCCAAAACGGACAACCGAGTCAAAAGTTATGCATTGCCAAACTTTTGACACTTTACAACTTTATAAAAAATATAATAAAAAATTAATCGCCGGTTCAGCCAGCGGGGCGGCCGCGAAGGAGGCCGATTTCGACTTTCCTCGCCGCGGCCAGCGGCCCGATTTCTGCAACACTGATATATAGTATAGATAGAATAGGAATAGTATTTGGGGTAAGAATAGGAATAGTATTACACAATTTTATAATATTATAATAGAATTTTAACCCAGAATTATTGTAGAAATCAATATATTTTATTGGGAAGAGAGATTTTTTAGGAATTGGGCGGTAAGTTAAAATTTCAGGATTTTGATTTTATATATAGTATAGATATAGATGACAATAGGAATTGTATTACACTATTTTATAAAATTAGAATAGAATTTTAATCCAGATTTATTGTACGAATAGTAAAGTAGAAATCAATATATTTTATTGGAAAGAGCGATTTTTTAGGAATTGGGCGGGAAGTTAAAATTTCAGGATTTTGTTTTTATATATAGTATAGATTAAGCGCATTAGAATTTGGTGGGAATGAGAAAAAAAAAAGCTAAAATAAAATACAATTAAACTAGCCTTTAAGACTTAACTGTAGTCGAGCTAATGGCCCGTTTGGTTCACGGAATACGCCGGGAATGGCATAGCATTCCCAGTAATAGGCCTATTCCTTTGTTTGGTAACCATTTCTATTACCAGGAATAATATTCCTAGTAATAACCTATTACCTCAAATAAGGTAATAGCTATTAATAGGGCCCCCCCTAGTATTAGCCTATTACTGAACGCTCAAGAATAGATTTTAGAATCTATTTTCTTTTTTTCCCCTTTCTTTAACCTAGTTTTTTTATCCTATATATAAATTTATCCTATTTCACCACCGTCGTCGCCACCACCACCATCACTGCCGCCGTCGCCGCCACCACCACCACCACCACCATCCCCACAACTGTCGTCGCCCGCACCACCGCCGTCGCCCCCACCACCACTACCACCCCACCACCACCACCGCCACCATCACCACCACCGCCACCACCATCGCCGCCGCCACCACCAGCACCGCCACCAGAACCATCACCCCAGCAGCACTACTGCCGCCACCACCACCACCACCACCACCACTGCCACAACCGTCACCGTTACCACCACCACCGTCGCCCCCACCACTGCCACCACCACCACCACCACTACCACCCCAGCACCACCACCACCACCGCCACCACCACCATCACCACCACCTCCACCACCACCATCGCCACCACCACCACCACCATCACATATTTTTATAAGGGTATTTATGTCTTTTAAAACATATTTCATTTCTATTCCTTAAATCAACCAAACACTGTAATATAATTCCTAAAGTCTATTCCTTACGCGAACCAAACAATAGAATACAATTCCTATTCTATTCCTTGCCTATTCCATTCCTTATGGAATAGCATTCCTATTACCTCAAAATTCATTCCGTGAACCAAACGTGTTGTAAGAGTAATTAAAACTGGAATCACTACTACAAAAATAATATAAAAATATGACTTTCCACTATACTTTTTAATAAAAGTATAGTTTATAGTTGAATAGAAAAGATGAAAACTGAATGTATTGTATTGATAAAAACTAATTACAAAGATACAGTATACTAAAATCAATGTTGAAAAAATCTCTAGGCGCCTGGGGACCGCCTAGGGCGCTTAGAGCGCCTAGGCGGGCGCCTAGAACGCCTAGGCGGGCGCCTAGAGCGCCTAGGCCGCCTAGGAGGTCAGGCGCCTAGCGCCTAGGCGCGATTTTTGCAACAGTGACTAAAATATATATAGTGAGGGAATCACAGGGAGGATAGGGAGTCATAATCTTACTCAAATACATAGAATCCTAATACTCCGATCTCCCTCAAGCACATGGTAAGCTAGTAACCCGTTGCTTGTTTCTAAGAAAAGAAAATCTATGGTCAGGTAAAACTTTAGTAAGGATGTCAGCAAGTTGATCTTTGGTTGAAATAAAGTTGATTTGAATATCTCCAGAAGCAACTCTATCTCTAACAAAGTGATAATCAATCTCTACGCTTGGTGCGAGCATGAAAGATAGGATTTGCACACATATATGTAGCACCAAGATTATCACACCATAACTTAGGAACAGGAATACCTAGCACATTGATCTAATGTAACAGGGAAAGAATACATATTACTTCAGCACAAACATCTGCTAGAGCTTTATATTCTGCCTCAGCAAAAGATCTGACAACAGTTCTCTGTTTCTTACATACCCAAGACACAAGATTAGATCCGAGACACACAGCATAACCACTAGTAGATTTACGGTCTTCAGGACAACCAGCCCAATCAGAATCAGAAAAAGCATGAAGTTCTCTTGACACTGACTTTCTTATACGCAAACCGAAATCAATTGTCCCTTTAACGTACCTCAATACAATTTTTAGTCGCTCCCAATGTGATGTTGTAGGAACATGCATGTGTTGACAAAGCTGATTTACAGCAAATGATAAGTCAGGTCTAGTAATGGTGAGTTACTGCAGCGCTCCAGCCAGACTCTTGTACTGCATAGAATCATCATACAAATCTGCATTGGAAGGGACAGATTTCGATACAGGAATAGGAGTAGCTAGAGGCTTGCATTCTGCCATACCTGCTCGTTTCAGAATATCTGTCATGTACATTTTCTGAGAAAGCATAATTTCATCATCACATTTAATCGTTTCAATCCCAAGAAAAAAAAAAAAAAACAAGTTCACCCAGATCCCTGATCTTAAATGCAGTAGATATTTTCGACAACAAATTATTCACCAAACTTTTATCACTCCCCATCACAAGTATGTCATCAACATAAACCAATAAATACACAGATGCAGAGTCCTGCGAGTAATGAAATAGAGAGAGATCTGTCTTTGATGCCTTAAACCCAATCGATAGTAGAAACGTGTGTAGGCGATTAAACCAAGCCCTAGGAGCTTGTTTCAATCCATACAAAGAACGTTTTAGCAGACAAATATGATTAGAGAATTGAGCATTAATATATCCAAGGGGTTGACGCATGTAAATAGTTTCAGTCAGATTTCCATTCAAGAAAGCATTATGAACATCAAGCTGCCTAATAACCCAACCATAAGATGCCAAAGATAAAAGTAACCTGACTGTAGTGGGTTTCACCACTGGGCTGAATGTTTTAAAGAAATCCTGACTAGACACCTAATTGAACCCTTTTGCTACTAACCCACTTACATCCAATAACATTCATATTTGACATGAAAGGAACAAGGCACCATGTTTGATTCTGTAGTAGAGCATTGAACTCTTGATCCGTTGCGTCACGCCACTCAGGATACTTAACTGCCTGCGTATAACATGTTGGCTCAGTGGGACAAACCTGTGTAGTTAAAGTTTTAGGAGGAGCTTGAGACTGACTCCTAGTGGCCATGACATGGGTGCGAACGTTTGGCCTTGTGGACAGACCTCGAGGACGGCCTTGAGGTCGTGGTGCGGCTGCCTCGGGCATTACCTCAACTGACGGAGCCGTGACAGCCGAGTCTGTGTGGTCAGTGGACACGGGTTGGCACGACTGTAGAATCGACTCAACCCAAGGAGAAGATCTTGAGACCAAAGGTTTCTGCAAAACATTCTTAGTAGCAAAAGGAAAAACAGTTTCATCAAACTACACATTCCTACAAACATATATCTTATTAGTCTGTAGACCATGCACCTATACTCCCTAAAAGACTCAGGATAGCCCAGAAAGACACAAGAGGAAGATCTGTAGGACATTTTATGACGATTATATGGTCTTAAGTGAGGGTAACCGAGACAGCCAAAGACACGAAGGAAAGAATAGGATGGAGGAGACTTGTGCAACATATGATGAGGACTAGAATTGTTTAAGACACTGGAAGACATTTTATTAATCAAATAAACAGCAGTTTCAAAAGCAAAATCTCAAAAATGAGACGGAACAAAGGCATGAACGATAAGAGTGAGCCCAATTTTGACAATGTGCTTGTGTTTTTGTTCAACACGTCCATTTTGCTCATGAGTGTATGCACATGATTGTCAATGATTAATGCATAGTTGCACAAACAAAGAATGTAATTTCTTATATTCAGCTCCTAGATCAGATTGAATGAACTTGATTTTAAGATTAAATGAACGCTCAACTAAAGCACGAAATTTATCAAATATGACATAAAGATCATATTTCTGCTTCATAGGAAAATACTAGGTGTAACACCCCCAATTTTTAAAACATTTAAAACCAACGAAATAAAGGTGGATCTATCATTATCCATCCAAACAAAGCGGAACTAACAACACAAGTGTTGGGGTGCTATGCCACGTCTAGGTTTGAGAACCTAGACGCATAGGCTAATTTACTAACCAAAGCATAAATCCACAAGTTCATAAGCGAGTACAAATCAAGGCACGCAGGCCAACCAACAACTGCTAACTATCTAAGCTAGATCCTCGTATCCATCTAGCACGCTCAGAAGCTACAGATCTGCACCTGAAAAATAAACGGTGTAACAACCGTCATCGAATAATGTTGGTAACCCACTCCAACGCGTTAAGTACAATATAGGTAGATATAAGAAACCATTTTGAAACCGGAATACGTATATAATCCTAAACAAACTCTAGCTTCAAAACCAAGATCAAGACTCAAGGCATAACAACAGTTTTAGCATTACGAATCAGCACAAAGACACTAGCATGCATCCTAACTCACAGGATAAGATAATCACAAGGCTCAGCAATAACAAACAATAACAACAACAAGTCACAACGACAAGCAAAGGCAACAACAACAATAACATCACGATCCAGCCTTATACCAAGTTCCAACATTTACTCCTCTCCATCCTTATATCAGTACCAACCTGTACCTCCAGTCCACCCTTATAACACCACCCCCTTATCCCTCCGGAGCACTTCATGGCTCCCCTCCAACATATCTCCAACATGCTACCGATCTGATAGCACCGCAGTGCCATTCACATGATCCGTGCCTCTAGCACCACTACCAAGGGGTCAGCACATATAGCTCTGACATGGCACCGCAGTGCTTATAACTTGATCTATGCCTTTAGCAAACTAATCAAGGTTGGTCTGTGCCTTCAGCACGATAACCGAATGGTCTGTGCCTTTAGCACAATAACTGGGCACTCGTTGTGCCAAACTCCAACAATTCTTTTTTTCTACCAATCACATCCATTTCTCATCGGGTACAATCAATCAATCAAGATGCACAACAACGCAGTGGCCACCGCTTAATATCAACAACAATCAATACACATCAACACATAGCAATGGATAATCAAAGGGAAGGCACAACAATCACCTCAACAAGTGACATCAACTTAACACGCAACCCACAAGATATAGTCTAAACTCTATTTCCCAAGCTAACGAGACAACCAAAGCACCCACGGGATCATACAATCACGACCCATAACTCCTAAAACGGTACCCGAAATATCAAACGAGACACGTAAACATCAAACGGGGCACGGGGAAACACAAAACGAGACCAAACAACGCACCACCCCGCCTGTACCAACGGGTGTACTGCGGGTGGTCAACCACCCGCCGGTGGGCGGTACCATGTACCAGTGGGTGGTCGTCCACCCGCCGGCCGCCCGCTGGTACCATGGTGCGTACCTGATGGGTGGTCAGGTGGGGGTTCGTCCCCCGACCGACCCCCCGCTGGTACGATGGTAACTTGGCACTTTTCCCACCCGGGAATTCATCCGGTAAACCCAAAACCAAGTCCGAATACATCCCAATACACAACAACAACAACAATATAGACTTGAATCACAAGAAATAGGCCATGAAGCCAACACAAACAAATCCTAAATTCATGCTCCTAACATATCAAGATTCAAGAATCAATTCCTCAACATGCAAGAATCACAATAACATCAAGATTCCATCCAACAAACCCTAATAACAAGCTCTAGACATGCCTAAACATAGAAACACACATACAATCCATCACAACATCAAGATTATCAAATAAACACACCATAATCCCTAGGCAAAGCTCTATCAAGACTCAATCACAGAATCACACATATAATTATCAAAGGAGCCAATAATCAAGATATAGCAAGGAAAATAGATTTTGTAAGACATGGGTTACCTCTTAGCCTTAATTAATCCTCCCTTAGCTATTAAGGTTCTTCTCTAAGATTTCCCTCCGATTGATCTCCCTAGGCTTGGTGGTGGGGAAGCTCTTCGCCCGGTCTCTTGGGAATAATTTCGTATAATATAACTATGGGTAGTAAGGGTTCTAATTGCTTTCTAATCCCTTATTTATAGAGCTAGGGATCTTTAATTAGAATCTGAATAGTAAAGGCCTACTTTCTTTATTCCTAATAGATATATAGGTCTAGGATTCCTAATTAGAATCTGAATAGTAGAATGTCTACTCTCTTTATTCCTAGCAGGTTTAAGGTTTTTAATATAGACAAGGGTCCACGGTCCATTGTGGACCATAATAATTAACTAAGGAGATTCTAACTAAATTAAATCATTTTCAACTATTCTTAGCGGGATTAATTACATAATTAATCCGAGCTTGAAGATCGAAACACGGGGTGTTACACTAGGTGTAACGAGAATAATCATCAATAAAGATGACAAAAAAACAATAATCATTAGAGGATAGCAAAGGAGCTGGTCCCCAAATATCAGTGTATATCAAGTCAAGAACATCGAAACTATTAGACTCAACACGTGCTAAAGGGAAACCTGCAGATTTTCCCAATTGACACGCTGAACATAAATTGGAATTACAACGAATAGTACGACTAGAGCCACTAACCGAACAAGACTGAAGAATTTGAGTAAGGACACGCTGATGAGGATGACCCAAACGATCATGCCAAACCGAAGTGGAAGCACGAGCGGAGAGAAACGCGGAACATGCAAAGTGTATAGGCCACCTGAACTACTGCCCCGTAGGAGGATTTCCTTGGTGGTGATATCTTTCATAAGAAAAAAAAAGCATGAAACTCAAAGAACACATTGTTATATGTAGCAAAACGCTGAACAGATAATAAAGAGGTAGACATGTTGGGAACATGCAATATATCAGACATCGTAAAAAACCTAAAAAGGGTATAAAAAGTAGCATAACCAACACGACTAATAGACATGGCCATACCATCACCGACACGTAAAGTGTCATTATCAGTGTACTTCTCCATGGTTGAAAGGGTAGCTATGTATGGAGTTGCATAACTTGTGGCTCTAGTGTCAGGAACCCAAGTATGAGAATTTGACGAGGTTTTAGCATCCAAACCATTCTAAAACACCAAATTAGCCTGAGAACTCAGAGTCCTTGAATAGCGCCAAAAACAATTGGCTACCGTGTGATCGAAACCATTACAAATTTGACACTGATCATCAAAGAGCCGAATACAACTGTTTCCCGTGTGACCGAAACCATCACAAATTTGACACTGTTTATTAAAGCGGCAAAAACAATTAGCTCTCGTGTGCCATGTGACCGAAACCATCACAAATTTGACACTGAACTTTAAAGACGCGTCCGCCATTCTGCTGACGCCAGTGCGGATTGCTATGACTCCAGCTCCCACTGCCTTGTTGCGTGATTTCAGAAATTTTCTATCTGAAATTGTTTGCTGGCGGCCATTTCTTTCTGTAATTCACTTGCAATCCGTGCAAGGCGAATTTCTTTGGGGAATTGCGACGTTGTTTTCCCCCTTTGTTAATTACGTACGCAGCCGGCAGAGGTACAGAAGGTGGTGCACTTTAAGCAATACGAGACATGCGTTGATGTTGATGTTGTGCCGACATGTTGATCATGCGCCACCCTTGATCTGCATGCATTGAGGAGAGAATTCTTGAAGAATGAAACTACAAATCAAGCTTGATTATTCTGGACGTTCATAATGTCCGGAATTAGTTACGAAATCATAGGATTTTTTGTCCTTGTTTTTTTTAAAAAAATTGGAGATGACAATATTAATTATCGTGAACCCTAGCTAACTGATACAAGCTGAGAACTGAATGTATTGTATTGATCAAAACTAATTACAAAGATATAGTATACTGGAATATATATAGTGAGGGAATCACTGGGAGACTAGGATAAGGAGTCATAATCTAGCTGAAATACATAGAATCCTAAGAGAAAAAGTGCGCTAACAAAATCTTAAATAAATACTTAAAAAAATACGACACTTTTGTTTAAGAAGAGTAGCGATTTCTTAAAAAAACGAGTCTACTTTCCACGACATATTCTCTCAGAAAGTGTCGTGGAAAGAGAAAGTGTCACGGAAAGTAATAAATAAAAAAATAAAATAAATTTTTCCGTCGCACTCCTTCAAATAAGTGTCGCAGAACTAATAAACTAAAAAAAAAAAAAAAACTTTTCGCAACACTTCTTTAAAAAATATGTCACGGAAAGTCTCCTAAATTAAAGTCTCCCTTTTTAATAAATCCAAACAGTTTTCGACACAACCTATTTCACAAAAAAAAAAAAAAAAATCTTCTTTTTCTCTCTTCATTTTTGATAGGAATATTTGTGTAATTAGATTTTGATGAGGCGAAGTGTAATCTGATAGGCCGCCATAATTTTATTGTAATTTTATGTTACAGCATCTGGTAAGGATTTTTAGTCAAGGTGAAATTAAAATCAAGGCGTATGGATTTTGATAAAATTTTCGTAGAAGTACACGAAAAATAAAAGGAGAACAAAATTAATTTTGGATCTACAAGGACTGAATGAAAGTTAGTTGATAAGTATTATTTGGAGAAAGGATTACTAAAGTTCTAATGGCAAGATGGTAGAAGTTTTGAGATCCCTTAAGTTAAAGTGTAAGAGTTCGAATCCTTCTAAGAATAAAGAGAAGGAGAACAATGCACAATAAAGTTAAGGGGAAAACAGAAGGGGTTGGGCGTAGAACAATGCACAATAAAGTCAGGGTTGGGCGTTCGAGTGGGCTGATCAACTCGATAGCATACTCGGAAGCGTTCGAGCGGGCTGATCAACTCGATAAACTCGATAGCATACTCGGAAGCGTTCGAGCGGACTGATCAACTCGATAGCATACTTGGAAGACTTTGCTGACTGTAACACCCCCATTTTTCAATTCTAAAACTTGCTAATTATAGTACTTTAAGAATTGAAACATCCATATTTAGATTTCCAAAACAAGAAATTTCTTTATTTAGAAACTATTCGCACATTAACATTTAATTATAAATTCTTGAATAACTTAAAAACCTCAAAGGTGTTACCACCACATCTAACTACCTATGGTTAGATGCAAGGCTAATCTAACTTTATCTAACAAATAATGAAGATTTAAAACGAAATAAAACAAAGTCTTAGGGAAATTCACATTTGTCCCCTATTTTAAATTACTAAGTCTCAAATTAGGAAATCTAACTATTACATTTATTCTCTTCTTCTTCTAACGCGGTCTTTCACTTCAAGCTTCATCAATTCCTGTTCAATTTTTTTTTTTTTTTGTTAAGAAACACATAATAAACAGTGGGGATTAGCAAAACATGCTAAGGGTTACATTGCCCGAAAATAAAATTTAAAATAAAATAAGGTACATTACTTTTAAAAATAACTTTTCTTTCAAACTCACTTACAAAACCTTCTTCACTTCTTCAACAACGTAACCAATCACCATATCAAAATTTACCTTTAAACATTTAATTTCTTTTCCACATAAAAATAATCATTATGGAAGTGCATATTTCACATAAATGGGCAGGGTCCTTTACACTTAGGCCCTAGTGAACAACATCACGTTGAACACTCCACAAAATCCCACTTCCAGTGGAGTATGGACCTAAACCTT